CTTTAAATCAAAAATAGTTCACTACTTTAGCCCACCGGTGTTTTTAAGAGTGGATCCACAACATTTACAATTTGAGTTCGACGTTTCGTTGGAAATTACATCCTGCATCTTCAGGCGATTTGCCAGAATAGTGAAGCCATCCACCTGCTTCTAGTCTTAAATAGTGCAGGATGACGTCATCATTGTTGAACCCCATCAGGATTCGAGATCAGAGGTGGGGGTGTCAGTAGGGGGTGTATGCAATTATGCAATAGATCAGTAATCAGCTACTTAGCATGTGACTCACCTGTAAGGAATTGCAATGTGTTGTGTATTACTTAATAATACGCTTTCAGGCTGCGCTGAGTCTATAGCATTCACAGCGATTTAAAATATTTGAATTCTTCTCAATTTCAATTGATTTTCTAACTAATCTTGGGCAGTAATAATTAGTTCTGCATAACACTTAAACGTTATCAAAATCAATTGAATGTCCTTGTTGGTAAGCATGCTCTGCCACTGCTGACAACTGTGTTTGGGAGAATTTTATGTTCCTTTGGTGTTCTTTTAGTCTTACGCTGTTACATCCCGTCTGTCCAATATAAGACTTACCGCATAAGCAGTTTTTCTGATATACACCTTCTGTTGATAACTTCGGCAATTAATCTTTAGTACAAAACACGAGTTTTTGAATTTGTACCGTACCAAATCTCACTTATTATGAGGTGCTCTTCCTTCTAGATTGAAAACTAATTTATTTAGAACTGCTTTGTGTGTTTAGTTTGTTGTCCTTCCTTCCGCACCTCCAATTAGCACGGTTGGCCACGTACGGTGCAAAAGAGGTTCAACATGCATACAACCATAGACTGAATCTGGTGAGAGCGGTTGCTTTTTGAGGTCCAGGCCTTGGAGAGCTATATAGCTCGGTAAAATAAAAATCCGTTTTTTATATGCTTGAGTATCTTGGAGCGGGATAGGCTGTAGGGGCAGACATGGAGGCAGGTGCAATCCTGCGTTCAACCTGGGCCACAGCAGTGTCCCTGGACCTTTGGCCTGTGGGGCCCAGGGGTCTGCTTGAAAGAGATCTTACAGGGTGGCAGTGTAGAAGCCACCTCTGTCCTCTCAGCAGGCGTTACCACTTGGATGCCTTGGTGTCACAAGAAGGCGCGTTTGGGATGGCTGTCCCTTTAGGCAACCATCCTTCGGTAAGTACCGTAATGGAGAGGTACATTTTTTCCTTCATTTTGGCGAGGCTTTGGTACGTATTAACGTGCACCCCAGCCAGAGCTTGTCAGTTAGTGACTGCCTATGGAAATACGGGTTTAGCCCAAGTTAGTAAAACCCAGTCCTACCCAAGCGCGTCATCTGCTGTAAAGTGGATGTCAAAGATACCCCACAAGCGCTCGCCCATTCACAGATCCTCTCCGCTCTCATCTCACCGCTGCTTTGCCTGACCCATCCGCTCGGCTAACCAAAGCTCTCCGTTGATCCTGGGCAGTTCTACCAAATAGTCAACCTCACGATTAAAACATTCAAGATCATCACAATAATACACACAGGGTGTTGTTCATTAGTCTCGTAAAATATGGCTTATTTATGGAATAAGGCGGTGGTTGATGCAGGTGAAACTGATGCTCTATCGGCATCCCAGCGTGGAAGAAAAATGAGTACGGCTGACACCACCGTGGTATTTTATGAGCACTTTTGTCTTTTCAAGGAAGGCGGACACATCATTCCAATCTGAATGGCAGTGCAATGACATAGGATGCCCCAGTTTATCGCCATTTCCTAGTTCTACGAAAGATCACCGACGTCGTTTGGAATTTCCATCGGACATTGTGGAACTCCTCTGCTCAGCCTGCATGCAAAGGGGATGTCATCCCGTCTCCTCTGCTACTCCCGGGGACCTCCTCGTGACCCCAGCTGCTCACACTCCCTTGCCCTGTTCAAGCTCAGCTTTAATTCACAGCTGTCCTCCCCCGCCATCTGTGGTCGGCTGAACGTTGTCTTCAGTTTACATCGCGTCTGGTCTCCACTGCACTGTAGCCATGCGTTGTGTACCCGTCTTTGCTAAAGATGCTAAATCTTGCCTCTTCGACCCCCCACATCCACAGTTGACACCAAGGTGTGTGAACTTGCTTCCCGCTTTTAAGTGCATATTCAATTCCCCTACGTTCACGCGTGACTTGAACACGTCGACTTTCATGGGAGCGCTTTAACGTGGCCGCAAAACGGCCTTCGTTACGCGCCCGTTTAAAAAAAAAACGATTTACTGGAAGTGTTGACGCATTCAAAAAAGTGTGCGGCATCAAGAACATTTCCCGGAGTTCTTCGTGCGTGCCCGCTCTCACTCTCCTGTGCGCGTCACGCAGCTCGTTATTTACGGAGTATAGTGGCGTGGTGGGTTCACGCGCTGTGCTACGATCCCAGTCAAACATTCGCTCGGTTCCCTGGCCGTGAACAATAACATCGGTAGCGCTAGGCATGTGGAGCTGTCCCATGACTACCGCCCCCCCCCCCCCCCCCCCCCGTTTTATCCGAGCACCTGGTATGATGCGTAAACACGCGGGGATGACAAAGGCATCTGGACGTGTTCCTGGTCACACCACCCCCTCCTGTGCTGTGTTGCCCTTAGCGTGTGCTTACAAACCGCCATTGCGCCCGATGTCTGTAAGACTTAACGGGGAAATCTTTGCCTTTATTTTGCCCTATCTCTCTGTGTAGCTGTGGGTATTTCTTCCCCGTCCTTTGTGTCCTGTGGTTTGTCTGTGTCCTCTGTGATCTGCACATTTGTGTGACCTGCACCTAACTCTGTGGGTGTGTATGCTCTGTCCTGGGAGTGGTAGTGCAGCGGTCAGCACGCTGCGCTATGAACCCGGTGACACGGGTTTCGATTACAACACCAGTGGCGATTATTTGTCCCGGTCCTGGGACTCCCCTAGGTCGACGTGGCATCAAATCAGTACCTGGTGCAGTGTGTAAACATCACCACTGGGGAGACAAAGGCAGTCGGGCGTGATGCTGGCCACCCCCACCCCGTCATGTGCCGTTCCGGCCTTCATAGGTGCTCGCTAACACAACTCGTCCAAAGAGTCTGTGAAGGGCGTACGGGGGATTTTTTGTCTCGCCTGCCCAGGGTACTGCGTGCTGTCTGCCCCATGTCCTCTGTGCCCTCTGTGTCACGCCTCCTGTGTGCCCTGCATCTCATTTGCTCCTGTTGTGTGCGACGTCTGAAACACGTGCGTTCCCGACTGCCCCCTGTACTTAATTGACCAATGACATTGGCATACAATGGGCTGTGGGGAGCGAAGAGATGGCTTGTTCGCGCAGGGAAGAGAGGTGGTTGGGCAGCGATGTTGCTCTGCTCACCGCATGGCACCGGGGAAATGGGATTTGGGCTTTGGCTGAAGGGAGAGAGAGAGAGGCGAGCCGAGATCCAGAGCCCATGTGGCCCCCCTCGAGCCAGCCCCATCTTCCTTGATCGGCTGCCAAATTGTGCACTCGTGTTTACGCTTTGATGGTCTTAGAGTCATCGTGTTCTCTCAACGCGGGGCCCGTTTGCGCAGTGTTGACGCTTGGATTGCTTTGGCTTGCCCCGTGTAGTTTAAAGATGCATGTAGTTAAAAACGAATGCCTCTTTGGTACACGCGCGCACATCGGCTGCGTGTGTCCTGGCCCATGTGACACGAGCTTGTATCTGTTTGTAAATGGAAAAAAAGAGAGCCTGCGCTCTGGTACAGCGATCGAGTGATGTTAACGGATTGATGTTTTAAAATGCACAAGAGTGATGTCACCAGAGTGCCATAATGATGCGCTCGGCAATAAATTCCAAGTCTGTTTTCTCATTAACAAAGCTTCAAATTTGTTGTACTGCCCAGAACGCGTCGTCAAGCAGAGAGCTAATTGCTTTGTGGGTTGCATCTTCTTTTAAATAACGGCATTGATTGATCTTTGATTTATAATAACGAATGCTAATTCCTTTTCAACCAGTTAAAAAGGAACATTGATCGAGTGCGAGGCAAAGGAGTGTTCGTGTGAGCAAGAACCTCTAATATTTCCCCCGCAATCATTCCAAGGGCCGGGGTCTAATTATAAACCGCTTTGTTTTGCCTCTTGAAAAATGACCTTCCCTTGACCCCACGAACACCCCAAGCATTTTTGTGCCATACTTGAGGGATGGCGTTAAGCACGCAAGCAGAGTAGCACCACCAACACCACCACCACCACCGCCACCACCTGAATTTCTACGCAACTCAGTAGAGTTGTCCACGTATAACTGAGAGCCGCTTCCCGTGACAGATGCGTTTCTACCTGTCGCGGTCTTCACGATGTCTCGTGGAGAGTCCTTTCTCTCTGTCTCGCACCATCCCACCAACTGTCCCGCAGTGTCTCACTCACTGATCCACCTGCTTCCTCTTCCTCGCCTGCTTGCAGAAATCACCCTCATCTGCAGCTCTATGACCCTCTTAGGGGACATGCCCCCTACATACACTGCCACCTTCGCATCACACCGCTCCGTGGACGTTCTTTCTCGGCTACATCGTCATTCCTCGGCTCGTCGTACTGCCTTGACCGTTCCCATATTTACCCATGTACACGCTTTCATGGCCGCCTGTAACCCAAGTTGTGTTTGCCCGGGTTTCGCGCCACATGTTGAGCATGCATTCATTCTCCCAGACTCTCGCCGCCACGCAAACTCACGCTGGCATCTTCCCGGAGATGGAAAGATGGCCCCACGCAGGCCAACCCGCAAAACCACGCTCAACTCCATCCGTTTTTTTCCGTAACACCCACATCTCAAATCCACTTTTCACTTTTCATTATGCCCACCCCTTTCCCGCACAGACCTTTTTCTGATAATATAACATATATATTGCAGGCAGTTTGACAGGAATGCTTGCTTTCGCTGATGGGTTGTGGGCAGGGGGGTGGCGAGCTGTCCCTATCTCACGAGGAGTTTTTGATCGCCGAGAGAGGGGAGGTGGGAGGCTCCGTCTTGATGTTGTCTCCTGTGTTTCCAGCCGCTGCGAGGGGAACAGCGCTGCTGGCGTGCGGAAGGCGGTGCGCGCCCTGGCCCTGTCTACGCGACGCCGTGAAGCGGCGGCGGCAGCAGTCGCTTTGTCTTCTCAAGGCGGTTATCGATAGGTCAGTGGCCCTGGAGAGACGCGCCCCCCCATCGACGCGCTTATCGAGTTGAGATGGATTGACAGCGGCACCTGCCGGGGCCCCCGCGAATGAATCTCGCGAAACGTGACGTAAATTTCTTATAAATATAATGGTGCCGTTTATATATTTTTTTTCTTTCCTAAATGGCTTACGGGGGGCTTAAATGGTAATTTACGACGGGGCCGCTGAGTTATGGGTTTTAATCCTTTAAAATGTGGCACGGTGGTGCGTGACTGTATCCTTATTTACCGCGGCGTGCTGGCGAGCCGCAGCCGCCCGCGATTGAGCGCCTTCACCTTGTAACCGCGCGGGGTCGCCTGGGTTCACGCTGCCGACTTGTACCGGACCGTCGCCTCGCTCGCAAGAAGAAACTCTGCAAGTTTGCGCCACGGTCAGGGTGGGGGTCGACTCAGCCCATCCACCTTTTGGGGGATGATGTAAATGAAATGTGTACCACTGGGTGCTTGGAGATAAATGCAAAGAGCCCCCGTATAGCCTGTAACAGACTGTTGGGGCAAGGGCTGTTAGCGAGCGCCTATGAAGGCCGACACGGTACACGAGGGAGTGGGTGGCCAGCACCACGCCCGACCGCCTTTGTCTTCTGAGTGGCGATGTTTACACACCACACCAGGTACTTATTTAAGGCTGAGTCGACCTAAGGAAGGCCCAGGACTGGTTCAGATAATCGTCACTGGTGTTGGCCGTGAAGGGAATCGTACCCGGGTCTCGCCGGGTTAACCGCTACACTGCTTGGAGATAACACGCGCACACACACATAAGGGGAGTGATAAACTGTGTACATGTCTATTTAAAACCTACTTGCTGTACTACCATCTACGACGACTCAATAAGGTAAGTTTCACAGGCGGTTCCATCTGTACGATCCACCAACCCCTCCTCCACTAAGTCACAGGATTACCTCCGTGCAACGCCAAGCCCCCGTTGTGTTTTCTAAACACGTGACTTTGCTCAGCTGTGCTCTTTCATTTCATGCTGTCGTTTTCAAATTTGTATCATGAAAGCCTCCCAGTCAATCTTGGCTCAGTGGGAGGTCGCGCATCCTCCTCCTCTGCCCCCATCATCTGGAACTTTCTTTCCTCAACCGTCCATGCTGCCCACTCCTTGCCCCGGTGTTCAGATCCATGCTCCGGAATTTCCTCTCACCGTCTATTCTGTCTGCCTATCTCTCTTTTTCTCTCTTTCTGTAAAACAATTACGCCCACTTTTTCTGTCCGGCGTCTTGAGATGCCGCGTGAATTCACATTGTGCTGTGTTGCTATTCCTCTGTTCGCAATGCTGCCCTGAGAGTTGACAGCCGCGATGCCGGGCCAAGCGGCGATGGGGGCTGAGAGGCCCCATCGCCTGCCTGCGGCCGATTTAAATGGAGTGCTGCTCCACAGTCGCCGTCGCCCATGGAGCGACTGGCGCCCGCTATAGGCACGTGGCAACAAGCAATGCACAGTGCTCCATTCAGCACACATGCGCTGCTCTGCCTTGGTTTTCTGACTCGAGGGTTTAAATGGGTTGCACTCGCTGTCTGTGTTATTGCCTCTAATGAATCTGTGACCTCGTCACAGTGCATTCCATCCGTGTACCCCCAGTTGACATGACTGGGCTGCCTCAAATGATGCACTTCTATGGTTTAAAATCGATACGTGTTAAGTTTTAATGCGTGCCATATAACCACTTTTTCTCTGTTTGCTGCTCTATCTGTTAATGTGAAGCGTATGTACGTATATATGTTGAACCTCTTTCGCACCATGTGTAGCCAACCGTGCTAATCAGAGGTGTTGTTGTCAGTTCAGATCTCTTGATGTGAACTTTTATGCAGAGATTTAGAGACACCGCACTGTGAAGTTGGATCTCCAACTACAGCTCAATCCGCTGACCTCTACTCTGAAGAAGGGCCACTGCCCACAACGCTAGCTGCTTCTATATGCCGTGTTAATGTCTAACAGATGTATTTGATCTTGATTTGAATCTTGGTTTGAAGCTTGATATACTTAAATGTTTAGCAGCAATCAGGTTGGTTGATGATACAGCACCCGCTGATTCAATTAACTTTTCTAACGAACTATTTTTTTATTTTACAATGGTAAAGGCCCACTGAGCTATATAGCTTTTTTTCAGAAGCGACCTGGCCACAAGTGAAACCGTGCTATGACGGGGGTGCACGGTCCACGTTGTGTGCCAAGTGTTCCCTAATTGGAAGAACCGCGTTCCAGCGAGGGCGCGTTGCGGTGCGAACACCGCGCGTTAATCGAGGACTTGCCGTCTATTCGTCTTCGCCGGGCGGTAGCGTTCGTGCATAGCGCTGCTCATCGCTCGCGGCCAGCGAGTCGGCGCCGGGGGGCCTCCGCGCTGCGCTCGGGGACCCCACGACGTTTTCTCCGTCAGCCGGAGATAATGAATGGGCGCACTTCGCTCCCCCCCCCCCCCATCCCCACCCCCCCACGGCACCCGTCAGGGAGTCGAGGGCCCAGGCGGAGCCAGCCTCCACCTGGGCCCGCTCGCCGGCGCCGCGCCTCCCCCATCTGTTCGGGGGTCCAAGTCGGAGTTGTGAAAAAAAATGAAAGTACGCGGTAATGAATTTGCGGCTTGGGCCCGAGCAATCAACCGTCTCGTGTTTAACAATTACGGTAACACGGTGCCTTTTGGGGCCCGTATTCTTATTCATCTGATTGATGTTTTTTGTTTCTTAATATTTTATTCAGACCCAATATCTAACAGGGAAGAGGGGTCCTTTCCTATAAACATTGTGCTCTTCACCAGCGTTGATTCAAGTAAGCCTGGCTCCTGCTAATGAGACTGAATGTTGGAACGAGTCCAGAGTTTTCTTGTATTGGACTAATGCTGCGGGTATGATGCACTCCTAGAAGGCCATGTGGCTGATGAGATGTGTTAAAAAATAATTTTTGCAGTGGAGGGCCAGATATGCGAAGGAAGCATACCGCCTGCTTATTTATTCAGCGTGCTTAAGCGTAATTTATTTGCAGGTGCTGATAACTTGCTGCCTTGTGAACGTGTTTAAGTACTCGTTTATTTATGCCACGCGGTTGGAAACATTGCTTTACGTACACGTCATGGCGTGCATCTCTCAACGAGTGAAGTCAGAGGAGCCTTCTGTAATTGTGCACGGGGCGGTGGGCACGGGGAGGTGGGTACGTAGCGCGCACCATTTCATTCCTTGCTGCGGGACCCGCGCCAAACCACTCTCTCTCTCTGCACTGCCGATCGCCGCCGCTACTGTCGCCATAACCTAGTGGCAGACATCGCGCCGAGTGGCCACCGCGATAGCCGCCACGACCCCACGACGAGCGACACGGCTATCGGCATTGCACGGCTCGGTGACCCGTCAACGCGCGTTCTCCCGCCACGTCGCTCGACGCGTCCGTGAACTGTGTCGCTGTCCCCCCCCCACCCCGCGGCTGTGGTTCTCCGTTTACGAAGCGCGCGTTAGGTAATCCGGCGCGGCTTCCCGTAAACGCCGCGATCGGCGCTCCTGCGCGCGACTTGATCCCGGGGCCGCGGTTTTAACGGGCGCGGCGCGACGTCCAAATTGCGCATTTTCTGCTCGCGCTAAGCTCTTTGCGGTTCACCTGCACGCGTGGTCTTTCTAAGTTGGCGCGTCAGCATTTTATTAATAGATGCGGAACCATACAAGGGGAGAGAGAGGGAGAGAAGAGAGAGAGAGAGAATAACAACGGCAGAGGAATTATCGTCGGGCGGGTCGGTAATGAAACATTCTGTCGGCTGCAGTGCTGACGAGCGCGCATTCGGGGCGCATCTTCATCTTCTTCTTCTTCACAAGTTGCGTTTTAATCCCTCCGCGTGGTTAACCGCACGTGCGTTGTGGATGCGCCAGACTGCTTCTGTAAGGAAATAAATAACATTCACCTATCCCAACCCCTCCCCTCATCGTCCCCCTCCGCCCCCTCCCTCCCGTCCTCCCTTCTTCTTCCCTGTTATGTTCGTTATCCTCTCCCTTACTTCCCCCCTACCCAATATAAACTTTCACTTCTTTGCTCGAGGCTCCCCCCACCTGGGTGGGGCAGGGGGAGCCCAATCCGCCCCTCTTCACCAAAGCCTGCCCGCCGCGTCCCTCCATCTCGGGGCTTTTGCTTGAGGGATTTGAGCCCCTCCCCCCCCACCGCCCCCGACGTGCAATTTGTGAGCGCCTCGGGGTTGTTGTACGGTGATCTTCGAAAAACGTGTCTTTAAAATAACCACGCAGGCTCTCGTGCCGCGCGTGTTGACGCTTCCCTGGTAATGCGGAATTTCTTAAGTGCTTTGAGGCGTCACAACGGCGTGGCAGTGCAGCAAGCGGGTTCGTGATCCATCTTCCTGTGAATTTTTTTAATCCCGTTTATTTGCGTTTTATTATTGTCTTCGGGTACTCTAAACAACGTTCACAAACAACCCAATTAAAGAGGAATATTTCCAAACATTCCCATACAGATACAGGTAACCCAGACATTGAGATCAACCACGCGATGTGTTTTCAGCACAGGCAGAGATTTTGAAACCCCTCTAATGGTGCCTGGCCGATGATGACATTGCTTATTTTAGGACCGTAACGTGTTTCTGGGGCGCTCGCGTCATTAGCGCCATAGCAACTTCATTCCGCAATGCGCGTGCCCTTGCGTGTTTTTTTTTGCGCGCAGCAACAACGTTGTGGTGACGGCAGAGACGCGCGCCAGGCTCGCGAGCCGGGTTTACGTTCCGCACTCCTCGGCGCTACACCCACCCCCCGCATTGCACGTGCCCCCCCCCCCCCCCCCCCCCCCCACGTTCCACTTTCCGTATGCGCGTGTCTCCCGGCTCGCCCCCGTGGCCCCGGTCGGCCAGAGATGCTTCGGGTGGCCGGCGTCTTTCACTTCCTGCAGGCCCATGTTCTGGTTCCCTGCTCGCTACGGACAGCGGCGGGTTACTGACAGTGAGAGGTGCGCGCCGGCAAGCTTTGCAGTGGCCTGTGTGCT